CAGTTTTTCTCATCTACGACTGTGAATTAAGGATTTATTTTGACCAGAGCAGAATTGCTGATTGTTAGAACAGTGGAAAGCCTAATTAAGATGTTTTGGTGAGTTTAATTTTGTTTTTGTCCAATTTTACAATTATCTATGAGTTAAAATATCGGTTTTGTCTATGAAGTCTGGTGGGCGGAAATGGTCTAGATTACTTGCTCTAATGGTAAGGAATTTTGTGTATACAACCTTTAAGATAATAAAATACATAAAAACCCTCTTGCTAGCTAGAAAATTAATTATCAAGTAAAAGATCTAGTTCTTCCACCACTGGTTAACATTTGGTGGGCACTATGTGTCAAAATGACCAGTAGCATGAACAGTTTTGACAGCTGCTGAGGGTCACTGATCATCCAGCATCAGCAAGGCCCGGTACCGATTAATTACAACGTAATCTGATGTTAATATAATGAGTGTTTAAAATGCAGACCCTAAGTGCTTTAATTTTTGAAGCAACATGCTGGAAAGTGTTCAAATTGAACCTAGATGGTGACATGTTATCATTCCTGTCTCCAGCTGGATGTCTGTCTTTCCATCTGCCTTCCATCTGCATTAACAGACTCGTCATATTTTCCATCTGCTAAGTGTCTTGTACATACCTGGACGCTAGCAGACCAAAATGAGGAACTGCAACAACATTCATCTCTGAATTATCATACAACTAAATTCTCCATCAAAAGCATGCATTTAGCAGGTTTCTTAGCAAACTCCTCATTTTTAACTGCCGAGCCAGGATGAGAATAATTTGATTAGTCTCAATTAAAGATCACAGAGTCAACAGATTGACGGTGCCCCAGCCACTTCCTGTACCCAGACACATTTGTGAGAATAGTAAAAATAGCAAATAGCAGCAATAAGTTCCTCCTACAAAAATGTCACTTTCTTTTATGCAATTCCACTGAGTGGTATTTTTATTTCTTATTTATTTTTTGTCCGATGATTGCTCAGAAAAAGCTCTTTCTGCCTTCTTTCAGGGTAAAAGCTTTTCAGATGTGATGAGGGGACTGCCTTCTGTGCGACCCCTCTGGCCAGTGTTACTGGAAGTAATTAGACAAGCCTGACAGTACATGATATATTGATTCACTGAGCTGCACATCCAGCGGTAAACATATGAACATTAATTGGGTATGCATTGGGTATTAAGGCTTGTGATTCTGAGTCATGCATACAGCATGTAAACAACTGGTTGTTTTGGCAAGCAGCACAGCAGTTCCACTGCAGCTGAAGTGAGATAACTAATACAATGATACCTTTCTACATCTTAAAAGACCATGCCAATGATTTTGCATGTTATAGTCCATTTACTACTTAATGAGAGAGCTAACCACAATGCATTCTATAAATCTTCTTATCTTCTATAAATCTTTGGCATTTCACATATCTGAATAAATGTTCCTACCTTCAAGGCAACCACTGATTTACATACATTTCCATACAATATAAAGATCGATTGTCAGACTGTTGAAACTTGCTTGAGACTTTTCAAATTAATCTGCCCTGAATTAAGTGAATTAATGTAACATCAACAAAAAAAATAATGCTGACCTGGTAGTTACTGTAGTGGAGTTCATTAAGTACATTTCAAGATGGTGGTTAAGTCTGCTAATGGATCACGTTGTTTGGATATGAATGAAAAAACAAGGGCTTGAATGCTTGAAGGAAGAAAAAAATGCATAAAAAATTCTACAAAATTCAAAATAGCAGCAGCATTAGTCATTAACAGTAATGTTCAATAGTCGATTTGTAGTTATGGAGATACAACTTGTAAGATCACTGGTGTGGTCCTCAGAGGGCCAAATTGTGATGGCTAAATGACTGGGTCAGAGCATTTCCAAAACTGCAGCTCTTGTTCCCGGTCTGCAGTGGTCAGTACCTATCAAAAGTGGTCCAAAAGGACAAGCAGTGAACCGGAGACAGGGTCATGGGCGGCCAAGGCTCACTCATGTGGTCCGATCTAACAAACAAGTTACTGTAGCTCAAATTGTTGAAAGAGTTAATGCTGGTTCTGATAAAAAGGTCTCAGAAGACATTTTGAAATGACACAGTTGGAAAAACATGAGGATAAATATTAAATTTACTGATTGCTGAATTTAGCTGCTTCAGTTTCAGGGTCCTGCTATTGTAAGTGTGGCTCTCTGTCACACTCTCATGACTTTCTGCACCACTTGATTATAACAGATCCATGTTTAATGTGATTAGTAACGCCAGTGTTTTTCCTACTAAGACAAGTCAAAATGTCTGCTGTGAAAAAAGTTTATTGTTAAGTAAGGCAGACTCTCCTCTAATTGCAAATATCAAAAGCCTTTTTCATTGTATTCTGTCTATGATTTAAAAAATAACAATAATAACTGCAGTCATGAAGAAATTTGCTGTTTGTTTGCATCTCTGTTGCAAAAGACTGGAGTTATTTTCTCCCAACTAGCGTTACTATGGCTAGATTGCTTCTGAATGCCAGTGAGACATCTTTGTATTGAGAGTTGGGTGTGGTGTGGTGACCTGTCCAGTGCTTTTTCCGTGCCCTTTTCTCAATGCATTCTGGGTTATGTGGACACTACAACATATTGACAAGAGAACAAATAGTATCATGAGTTGATGGGCTGTGGGAGTACAAGGGATGTCACTAACAGCAAACGTATTGCCATGTAATATACTTGCATAAGAATATGTGAGACACAAGGGTATAGCTATAATGCACAACGCAGAGGCAAAATGGGAAAATGAAAGGAAATGAAAAGTATGACGCAAAATGGGATTTAGACAGGAATGAGGGAATGACGGAAGTAGAAAAAAACATGACTGTAGTGATGAGGGAAAAAAAAGAAAAACAAGTCTCATGGCCCCCTTTTTTAGTGAAGATGACATGTTGTATTTAATTCAAATATGTCTGAATGCAGAACAAAGGCAGTCATGTAAAGTCAGTTTGGCACTTGAGCTTTCGTGAAAGCTCATAAGTATAATGGAAGGAGGTATATTCTGGGATTTGAGGAAAGGACACTCACACACTGACACGTACACAGACACCAAATGTCATTTGAACTGAATTAGAAATCCCCAGTGGCATCTTGGCCAGGATGCTGCTTTTCTTTCGAAGGGGGAGCAACTGTCCTGAAACTTGACCTTTTCTACTTAGCTGAGCCGTTTCTTTGGACATTTTAATCTTTCATTCAATAGTCTTTTCTTTTTTTTCCTGTTCCTGATCTTTCTGTTTTCTGTGAGGTAGTTTAGGACAAATCTAAGGTAAAAGTGATCAGAAAATAGCCTGCAAGTCAGATAAAAAAGATATTTTGTTTACAACAACTATAGACCAAACTTTACTCTACAGTTGATTAAATGTAGAAAAGTAACTATGACTTTCTTCCACATCTTCCAAAATATCTAATCTAATCTATCTAAAATTACATTTGTTTGACAGGGACCATGTACATAAAACCTTAATCTCAAGCAATACGAGAAGATGCTTTTAACTAGTTTAGCTAGCTGCAGGACTTCCAGCCCCCAGACACAAACACTGAAAAATACAGTAGATACAGAATAAAGTGAATTCCATATTCAAGATAAAATTTACTACAGATGTCAATGCATACAGATATCTCTGAATAATTCAACTGATTCACATGACAAGGTACTTAAATAAATAAATGAAAACATGATTTCAGAGTATGTTCTTAAATGAAAAGACAGAAGTCCTCTTAAATCTGACATTAAAGTTCTGCTCATTTGCTAGGAGCAGAGTTGAACAAAGCTTTTGAATGGCAGAGGGGCAGTTTTGTGAGTTATTTTAAAAACCAGACAGATAACTGATTTTTTTCCAGTGTTTTCCACTATGTAAAAAATGGCACATGAGTAGTTGAGCAACTTCCTCCAATGTTTCTGACAGCTTAGTAGCTACTTGTTCATTGCCTTTAACCTGAGCGTATATCATTGTGTCATCTGCATACATCAGGATTTCAACATAAATGGAAAATATAAGCATCAAATAACAGAGGCCCAAAAATAGAGAGTTGTGGTACTCATATGGTTCAGGCTCCTGCTGAAGACAATTTGTTATTCATCCAAAGTCTCTGAGGTATGATTGTATCCACTTATGAGTAATAATAGACCATTTATATTTAGACTACTTTGTGAACTGACTGAATGACTATTACAGGCCTTAGGACAAGACATGCTGCTCCTTTACCCAAATTACCATTGCAGCTTGTTTTTTCCACACCTATGACATAGTTGGCTCAGGTCCAAAACTGTATGAAAGGGATTGAAAAGCAATAGGTTGAACTCATGATAGCGTAAACAGTGCTGCTCATGAGACTAGAAGAACCCGGTACAGTGTGTGTGAGGGCGAGTCCTTCAGGGAGGCAGCACCATATTACACCCAGATAATTATGGACGGGGATTTTATTGTTTAAATATGAAAGTTTGATGATCAAGTGTGGGGTAGTATTTATTTCAGTATTCAATGGTAGTGATGCCAATAACTGGCACTCAAATCCTAAGAGCAATTTTGAAAACCTGTGGTGCCAGTCGTCTTTTACAGTGAGTGCAAAGATAATATTTGTACATGCACAAAAGGTCTCTGTTAATAACAAAAGTGTTGAGCCTTTGTTCTCCACACTTACTGTCTCAGCGTATCCATTCTTATTCCCCTCTATGTTTTCTACATACTCCCTTCCTTTGTTGTATCTCACCCAGTTTCTAATCAGCTGTCGGACAGTGACCAAAACGTTGGACAATTGTACAATATAGACCTCGAGCCAGAATTAATAAAATCTTCTACTTTTTTTTTATAACAACGCTTCTTAGTGTGGACTTCCATTGTGTTCATTTAAACTAGATCAAAGATTATGAGTAAAAATTATATTACTGTTGTCTGGAGATTTTATGGAACACATTACAATTGCATTTAGGCCTGTGCGTGTGTGTGTGTGTGTGTGTGTGTGTGTGTGTGTGGTTATCCTACTCACTCGACTGTGTCCTCCCAGCTACACCAGTGTCTCTGGTCCAGCTCTTGCATGTCCAGTCTGAATTTGGCCAGGCAGAACTCCTCAATGCGATATTCGTAGTGGGGTCCACACCCCAATACTGACACACACTGAGACACTGCTGAGTGAAGGGGGAGGAAAGAGAAATGTGGATGAGTGGCACAAAAGACAAAAAGGCAAAAAAGTTTTTCTGATTATTTGAAAAAAATATAAACCAGTTAGTGTTTGCACAAAAATTTTGTTTCATTGTCATTCTGTGTACGTTTGTGTGTGTGTGTGTGTGTGTGTGTGTGTGTGTGTGTGTGTGTGTGTGTGTGTGGGGTCAATGCATGCAGCCTTCTATGGCCTGGTTAAAGGCTATGATGGGGTGGAAGCACAGAAAAGCACTTAGGATTGAAAACAGCTATGACCTCAAATGTTGTCGCCTGTTCTTTGGGTCACTGCAAACTAAGATGTTTCCCCGTCTGTGGGACATGACACCGAGGCACCATCTGCTACCACAGTGTTAGGTATATAATTGCCTTACAAGACCTCCAAAACAACACACACACACACAGTTGAGATGATTTACCGAACCGGAACATTTACAGTGAATTTTTTGTCAATGAGAAGGAGAGCGCTTTTGATGTTGAAAAAGACGCTTTGGACTATTAACTCTAGGAATGTGTCTACTGCAAGCTAAGAAAGGATAAGATAAAATTAGACTTTGATGCCTCATAGAGGTAAAATCACAGTGATAAACTCTGCATAACAGTATCAGAGTAATATCTGATGTAAAATGTTATTTCAGAATTCCTTATAATTTCCTTGATGGAATAGTTCAACATTTTTGACTCTTATCTGCTTCCTTAACAGGTTAGATTAGTAGATTCATGACTTTATGTGAGCAAAATATGAAGTTAGAACCTTCGAAAAATCCACCTACCAGCACCTTTAAAGCTCACACATATGTAAGTACAAATGCAGTGAATTAACATTTTGCTCTCAGCATACAAATATTTGTATTTGTGATTACGCTCTAATATTTTTTGCCTGTTGGTATTGACTGCCTTACATTGATGCATCTTTGGAATTTAAAACCATACATAAATAAAATATCCAGATGAGAATCATAATTGGCTAATACAGTAAAATGAATACGTGAAAATCACATCTATGCCAAAAATCCTGCATATCTAGGATAGTCATGAGTCATTGTTGAATAATTTGCAATAATGCATGAATATGACCAGACTGAGTTTTAACTTGAGCTTAACCTGAGATTGCATGACTCATTTTTAATGTATTAGAGAGAAATTAGGGACAACTCCAGATGGGTTCTGAGATCAGTCTGAGTCTGAAGGGAGCGGGGATAGAAACAGAGAAATAAGGGAGGATCTAGTAGTTTGGAAGACGGAAAAAAAACTGTATAAAATGGAGGTTCAAAAAATACAAAAACACAAATAACTTGTTTACATTTCTACAAAGAATCCGACTCATGCTGCGAGGAGAGTGGATGAAAAGGTTCATCTATCTGTTTTCACCACTCCGATCAAAGACTGCGATCAAAGATCAAGATAAAGTGTGTATGTTTGTGAAAGTCACAGACATAAAGGAAAAGTGAGAGAGTGAGAGAGTTGCATTTTTTCTGCAGATCAGATTTTCGTCATGCCGACAAGCTCTAACAACAGGTTGGCAAAGGTTGTTTGTGACTGACTTCCAAATGCCTTTATAAGAACTATGATTGGTTAAGGTAAGATCTTGGTGATGGTTAGAAAAAGCCATTGACTATTGGTAGGGAATATATTATATTATATTATTATGAATATATTTAAAAGAATAATATAAATTATTGTGTCGTTTAACTCTTTCCACAACATTTTCTCCACTGGTAAAAGTAACTGGTTCGTAGTTGAATGCCCATATCAAAAGAAAGAAAGCAAAGCAAGTGATTTTTTGATACCTGTCTCTTTTAAAATCCAGTTTAAGGCTTTTATTTCAGTAAGCTAATGTCATTAAACTCATGCTAGTGTCATTAAACCTACGCATACATTAAGTGAATAAAATAAATAGAAATGTACCGTTTTAAAGCAACTTTACAGTGTAAATGAGCAGAACAGCAACATTCAGTGAAGCAAAATAATATTCAGAATAGTCAACTTCTTATGAAGAAAGCAAATGTAAAAACAGTACAACCCAAATCCTTGGTGGCTGCAGGGCCCTCAGGCCGGCTATGCATATTCACATAATATATCCATTCCACGTGAGTGGGCTAATTGAACCATGCTAATGATGGCTTGGTTGCATGCATGTTGATTTGTCAGAGCCCGAAGGATGCAAGGAAGTCCATTATGATGACAACAGCCCGTGCACTACAATCAAGGTACCAAAACAAAAGCAGTGGAAGATAATGTTCAATTATAGTGAAGCTGTAATTAAAACAATTTAGAATTAAATCAGAAAACACTTTATTAATGTTAATTAACTTTAAAATGAATACGCAACTATCACATCACATATTAGTATTTTATTCCTGATAGAAAATCCTAGACAAGCCAAAGCACACACGTACTTTTTCACTAAAATAGACACAGTTGACATATTGGAAAATTGATGTATTACAATTGTTTATAGATCTGCAATCTGCAGGATAAACATGAAAAAGCACTGCCCTTTTAACAGAACATTTCTGTATATTTTCTAAATGTGGAGCAGTGTTACCACATCCTAACCAGTTTAGTTTTTTTTTTTTTGCCAGTTATCTTATCACACTTGCAAATAAAGGTATGGCTGCCAGTACACGATATCGGAAGGCCGCTGCATCGCAGCCAAAAGCTTCCCATTAGGTTGTCTTCAAACAAAAACAAAAAAGTGGTTAGTGTAGCAACGTAAGATATACACTACGTGGCTCCTGGTTGTGTGGAAACGGCACATTTATCCAGTAGTCAAATGGCAAAACACATTTGTGTTACAAAGAAAAACACCTGTCAACCTAATCTTTCCTCCATTAACTTGACAAAAAAGATAACGAAGAAATATTCCAGTCTGTCAAAGTGTTTTGTGAGTCACTCGCATGTGCCTCTCCTTGTCAAATCAATGTTATATATCAGACTAGAGGAAAGGTCATGATTGACTTAAAATTTTCCCATTTCCTTTTACCATTTATTGATTTGGAGCCGAAACTAAAAATAATACACAAGGCCACCTTTCAACCTGACATTAATTCAGGATGCATGTGTGATGTGTCTCACCACCTCCTCCTCCCTCAACATTGTCTCTGCAAAATTAATTTTATTTAATACTAACTAACTTTTCACAATGATGTTGTGGTAAATGCTGTCTTGATTATGTATACAGATTTTTTTCAGGGAAGGAAGTGCTACATTTTGGACTCTGACACCTGAGATGAGCATTTGCATCTGGAGTCAAGCAGATGGTTAGCTTTGGGCAATAAAAGCACTTTGTTCGGATTTAGGTCAAGATTGTGGTTTTATTATTTAGTCTAATTTTCATCTGTAGTCCCTGAGAGGAGGCCATTAGTGATGTGTAAGTACCAGAGATAGAAGACTAGTAGTAGTAAGACTTAAAAACAGACACAAGATTCAACACCACACAAAATGTTAATGGTTAAATTATAATGAAGTAAACATCTGCGTGAAAGATGATATAGACTATAATCTTTTTCCTACTCTTGCCACCAAACAATAAAGTATTTAAGAATTCTTTGATCCAAAGCTGTTCAGCCCAGATCCAATGTAAGATGCTGTACATTAATTATTAATTATTAATGTTCTCATTATGTTGATAAAATACTTAATTTCCGGTGGCATTACATTTTTTTCAAAACATATTTACTGTTGTGAATAAGTTGTGACTATTATGGGCTCATATCACAAAACCCATTCCTTATTTTCTGACTTTAGAATTTGATTTACTTCATTAGAGCTGGTCCTATCATAACAGTCTTTGAGGATTATAATTGGATCTTGTTGTATGCTGTATACTTTAGCAGTCAAAACCTTCTGTTTGATGGGGGAATATCCTGCTCTGAACTTCCTCTCTGGAGGATTTACTTTAGTCTTTTTGGAGGAGTTTTGTTGTAAAGTCCATTGAGACACTATACAGCGTGTGATACTGGGCTAAATAAACTTGACTTGACTTACCCTGACTTGACCCATGCATTAAGGCTGCTTTTGCAAATACAAACATGCTTTTAGTCAACTTGTCTGGTTAAATGACATACAAGAACAAGAGCATGTAGCCTACTTGAAGTCGATGGCATTCCTGTAAATAAACAGCAGATGACCTTTGACCTGGCACATGCTGCCTTATCTCTGTGGGGCGTCACCCAGAATGCACTGCTCTCTGTGTACGAGCAGCTAGCTTCAGGGTGCTCCTTGTACTATGTGTGTTTGTGTACATGTGTGTGATTCTGTGTGCGTGTGTGTGAGATGGAAATAGACCTATCTGTCTATTTATAGTATGTTTTGTCCTCTCATCATCATCATCATCATCATCATCATCATCATCATCATCATCATCCGAGATGCATAAGAAACTAAACTCGGGGAGAAACTAATCTAATCTTACTGCATATTTGGATCTCATTACTGAAAGAATTTCTGTGTTTGGATTATTTTCATTTGTTTATGCTGACAGAAAAAACCCACGTCAGAACAATGATAGATGAAAGAGGCAGTTACCATGGGTTTGCATTTAGTGTCCATGTGCATAGAGATTTGTGTGTTTCTGTGTGCACGTACTAGCTTTGGAGCTACACAGCTGTGACTCCAGACAGTTTTGACCCACACTTGATTCCTTTGCCACATTGCCCTCTTGAATGCCTCTAAGGCCCATATTTGTATATTCAACATTTAGGCCCACACACACACACACACACACTCCTATCTTAGAGTCTAGTTTGACAGCTGTTGATCTGCTGCTGTTATACTGCGAGCTATCACTTGTAATCATTTCTGGAGCTTTTCCAAGCAGCGGCATCTGAGGTTATGCATGACATGTCAAGATGCTCCGACATAAACAGAAACAAGCACAAGATGTTAAAAGCTCAAGTTGTTTCACGGGGAATTAGTATGAAGTGAAAGCAAATAGGCCAAGATTGGAAGACAGATGAAAGATTGA